TACGAGCTCAATTTCTACACTGCTAAATTTTTACGTTTCTGGATCTCATCACGAAGCCTCCTTGGTTTATTCGTCTCGATCGCGTCTCGAACATAGGACATCAACGATAAAAACACGACAGTCCGATCTGGGCATGGATGGAGTACCAGGCCGAATGGCATCACCAAAAATCAAAGGAACGATTTAAGACAAGCGGAAAAACGAAAGTACTCGTCTTAATCAATACATCAGGTTGCAAGTCTTGAAGTGGAAACTCCAAACTAACCAAAAACAAGAGTTTACAAAGATTGCCAAAATTTAAAGAAATACAAAGGGCCACCCTCGAAAGAAGAAGAACGAGAGTTTTGAAAGATTTACGATGAACACAATTCAAAATGAAGACGGCTCCGCACCTCACGATGTGCTTACATCTGCTCGACTACCCTCCTTAAAAGATTCTCCTATAACAAAACATCCCTAGAAAGGTGTCGAGGCTCCTCCCGATTAGGTATGCGATGATTCTGACGTACGCCACTTCAGTTCAAAGTTAAATAGGTCATGAAAGAAAATTAACCGCCGTCTATCTCGAGGCTAAAGTAATGGAGTTATGATTGCATAAATAAATAAACTGCAAACATAAATACTTTGACTAAAACACAATTTCCAGATCAAAATTGTATTGTTCATATCTGAAAGCCAAGCTTTCACAGCATATCTAACATATCGACCACTCCTTCGAGGGTGGTCATGTGTTCGGTGACAAAAATCCACCATGACTAAGGCCGTGAGGCTGGGTGGTCTCATGTATCGACCACTCCTTCGAGGGTGAGCATGTGTTCGACGACAAAAATCCACCACAACTAAGGCCGTGAGGCTAGGTGGTCACATGTATCGACCACTCCATCGAGGGTGGGCATGTGTTCGACGACAAAAATCCACCATGACTAATGCCGTGAGGCTGGGTGGTCTTATGTATCGACCACTCCTTCGAGGGTGGGCATGTGTTCGACGACAAACATCCACCATGACTAAGGCCATGAGGCTGGGTGGTCGCATGTATTGACCACTCCTTCGATGGTGGGCATGTGTTCGAAAACAAAAATCCACCACGACTAAGGTCGTTAGGCTGGGTGGTCATATGTATCGACCACTCCTTCGAGGGTGAGCATGTGTTCGACGACAAAAATCCATCATGACTAAAGCCTTCGGGCTAGGTGGTCAATCCTAATGTTGGGTCGTTGATAACATGGAGGACGGATAGCCCGAGCAGGTTGATTGTTTTTACGTAATTTGGTGCATGAATTTATTTTTCGACCTCCGTGGCAGGTCGATGGAGTTCAGTTGGAGCAATAAAATGAGTTTATTTGCAGACCTCGGTGCTAGGGAGATTATTCGAGGACCTCAGTGCCAGACCTCGGTGGCAGGTCGATGATTTTTACTTGATTCGGGTTTGTCGAATTTATTTTTTGACCCAGTGGTAGATCGAGGGAGTTCACTTAGAGCAGTTCACGAAGTCATGTTATTCAGGTCAATGGTTTTATTTTGTTTAGTTTTGTCGAATTCGGTTTTTCGACTTCAGTGTGGTGTCAGGATATTCGGTTCTCAAGAAGATAAACAGCAGAATTGAATTTCAAATTTTAAACTGAGGGGCGATGATAGGACGAGGTGATAGAAAAGGTTTATCTTTGAGCGAAGAGAGCTCAAACAAAGTGGTCGAAAAACAACATGCGTGAGTTCAAATTTTTAAATTCATGACTTCGGGGAGACATTGAGGAAATTTATCAAAGTATCATGGAAGTCCAAGTAAGCAGGTCGAGAGATACCAAATAAAGGTCGATATTGCAAAATGAAGGGCGAAGGAATCTACTCTAGGAATTAAGGTTCGACCTCAGTGGCGGGTCATTCGATTTTCGACCTCAGTGGTCGTTCGACTTTTGGTTTTCAACCCTAGTGGCGGGTCACTCGGTTTTCGACCTCGGTGGTTGTTTGGCTTTCGGTGTACAACCCCAGTGGCGGGTCACTCGGTTTTCGACCTCAGTGATCGTTTGGCTTTTGGTGTTCTACCCCAATGGTGGGTCATTCGATTTTCGACCTCAGTGGTTGTTCGACTTTTGGTGTTCAACCCCAGTGGCGGGTCACTTGATTTTCGACCTCGATGGTCGTTCGGCTTTTGTTGTTCGACCCCAGTGGCGGTTCATTCTGTTTTCTGTGTTCAATCTCAGAGGTAGGTCTTTCGGTGTTCGACCTCAGAGGCAGGTCTTTCGATATTCGACCTCAGAGGCGAGTCTTTTAGTTTCTTATCTTAGTGGTCATTTGGTGTTCATTTGGGTCCCGATGCTCATTTAGAGGTTTGGTGACTATTTTGGTGGTCGAGGATTTATTCAAATTATAACCTCAGTGGTAGGTTGACGAAAACAGCCCGAAGAGGAATTTCACTCTTGGATCGAGTCATGCTTACTCGACCAGAAGATCGAGACTAAAATCACCGACGACTCTGGCGGACGCCATTGACCACCAAAATGAGTCGACGGCGGTACCTTAGCTCCCTTTTATAGCAGGAGGTCAGGCGGCGGACGGCTGCCAGCGATGAGATTGTGGCGGAGGTCCTGGTTTTGCTTTCAAGAGATGGGCATATTGTTGATAATTTAATATCTTTAAGTGACATCTTTATTTCCAAGGTTTACAGATTAAATAATATATGATTGAACTGAAATATAAAATTTTAAACTGCTAAATTTATTTTCGTCGGTTCGGCTATTTTAAAAACTAAAGTCGACTTCAAACTAAAATAACCATAATTTTTTAAAGTAAAAACAAATAATCAAATTAAAATATATAATTCAAACCAACAAATGTAGTTCGGTGAAATTTTGATTTAGAGTGCAATCTGACAGTCACTAATGTGCAACTCCTCTAACACTAATGCTCACTCGAAAGGCAATTATTTTTTACCAAAATAATTTATTTGATCATTTAACCGAATTAGTCTAAATAGTCCAAATAATTCATAATATAAATATATATTCAGTATTTCGACATTTTTATTTAATTTTTCATATTAATTTTCAACTATAAAGACCTGAAATACATATGTAACAAAATAATATTTGTTTATACAGTTCAGTCGGTTTGGTCGCTATAGTGCAATTTGAGTCTTTGGCAATCACTAATGTGCATTGTGTCTAACACAATGGTGCATTCAAATTACCAATATTTTTTTAATGGTTTGTCAGAAACCAAGTTAAATTCGAAATAATATGTTCATCTGATCATTTAGTCGAAATAATCTAATTAGAAAAATAATTTATAATTTATATTATATTATAAAAATATATTTAGTATTTTTAATATTTTTATTTAATATTTTATATTATTTTGAATTGTAAAGACCTAAAATACATACATAACAAAATAACGTTTATATAGCTAGGTCGTTATAGTGCAATATGAGAATCATTAATGTGCAATCCATCTATCAGTAATGTGCACTCGAAGTGCAACTATTTTCTAAGACAATATATTTGTATTTATAATTTTTTATTTAACATTCTATATTATTTTTTATTGAAAAATAAATACTATATATATATATAAAAAATTAAAAAAATAAGGTCGACATGACATTTGGATCGATATAAACGATTTTTAGAAGGAAAAACAAATAATCGGCCCGACATATAAAAATCTAAATCGAAAATTTTAGTTTTGTCGAGTTTGGCCGATATTGTGCATCTCGACAATAATTTGTTACGCTAAATAATCGGGCCGACATATAAAGATCACGAACCAAAAAATGTATTTTGGGTCTCTACATTTATTACGATAAAGTGCAATCTCAATGCACAAAAGTGCAACATGTCAATCATTAATGTGCAATTTTTCAAACACTATTGTGCATGGTTTTTAGCGCTATTGAACTGTGTAGAGAAAGTTGACTGATTCTTGACTAGATATTCTCTCATTGGGGAGCGATTCTATTCTCTCATTGGGGAGCGATTTTTTCTTCTCTTCATTCGTCATTTACCCGCTATTAGATTCAGTCTGTTATTTTCCAGTCACATTCTTGCTGATTATCTTGACGCAGTGTGTTTCTACTGAGTTATTTTGCTCAAGTGGAAGCTAGGGTTCTTGCTCATGGGTTCACCAAAGTGTATCGGGCAAGATGAAGATCTGGCGCAACGTTTAAAAGGATTCTCACTCTCTGAACGAGAACACAATTTCATAGACATCGCACAAGACGACATTAAAATCAGTGACGAGGAATGCCATCGCAGTCTATTTGGTAGAATTATCGGAGATAGAAAAGCAAGTTGGTTTGGGCTTAATCGTACTATGAGTCAAATCTGGAGGTTACAACAGACGATGGAAGTTAAGGAACTTGGACATAATTATTTCCAATTCATTTTTCAGATTCGAGAAGACCTGGAAAGAGTAATGAAAGGGGCTAACTGGGTCTTTGACAACCAGTACCTTGTACTTACAGAATGGAAACAGGGACTTACCAGTACACACGAAGCATTTCAGGAACTGAAATTGTGGGTCCAGGTATTCAATGTTCCCCTAAACTGGCTTAGTACTGATGTTGGTTTGAAAATTGGGTCAGTTTTTCAAGCGGTCAATAATGTGGTAGTGGTTGGGGCTGGCAATCATGGAGGAAGAATTCTAAGACTATTGGCCTCAGTTAATTTGAATGAACCACTCCCAAGATGTGCTAACCTGAGATTGGGAGGTGAAGCTGTTAGTGTTGGATTCAAATATGAGAAATTAGTTAATCACTGCCATTATTGTGGCTATCTAGGCCATTTAGATCGCAGTTGCTCCAGGAGAATGGAGGACATTCGAAATAAATCAGTTCTAGAGGGACAATTTGGAGACTGGATGAGAGCAGCTGATGGTTACCATTTGGCAGGACAAAACTCTTCTGATACAAGAAGCCCCTTGAAATCAGATAAACCTTCATCTCCTGTTCAAGAAACTCCCCTACCAACTTCCAGTAGCCAAGTGGCAGATAGTCACCAAATTCAACAGTTAACCACAGTACCACAACAGTTACCAACAGAACCATATCCTATCCCAGCAGCAGTGTCCTCATTGAACCTTCCAAACCTTCAGCTCTGACGATAATCACACACCCTTCTAACTTCACACCCTCAGATAAGCATAATAGCATGGAATATGAACCAACCCCCATTCAATCCAGCAACCATCAATCAGTGCCTCAGATAACCCACAGCAAAACAAAACTATGGAAAAGGTCTGCTACTAAAGAGGGCAGACTGTTAAGGCAGGAAGAAGGATCATCTCAACAACTCTCACACATCAAAGGCAAAAGAACAAGAGAAGATTCTGCAATTCTTCAATCAGATCAAGATGATTCTCCTCAAATTGCTTCTCAAGATAGGAACAAGAAACTGAAAAATTCACCATCAAAGGTGGGGGTGGCCAGCCTTGAATGGCACCCAAGTGACCAATGCTAGCTTTGGTGTGGAACTGTAGAGGGCTGGGTGGGCCCTCTACGGTTTCCCAAATCAGAGAGTCATGTAGGACTCATCACCCAGCTTTTGTTTTCCTATCAGAAACTAAAAAACAATCTGCTTTTGTCAAGTCAGTAGCTAGGAAACTTGGTTTTGATAATAGATGCTCAGTTGTTGATCCCAAAGGAAGCAGTGGTGGTCTTGTTCTGTTATGGTCTGGGGAGGTCCAAATTCACAAAATGGTCAGTTCTGATTTCTACATAGCTGTTGAATTCTCCAGAAACTCAACTGACAGATACTGGGGGGTCTTTGTGTACATAAATTCCTGTCATCAAATCAGGATTGACCAGTGGAAAACCCTCCAAATGGATAGAAACATATGGGGCAATAAATGGTTTATAATTGGAGACTGGAACGAGTTACTTTTCAAGGAAGACAAGAGAGGTGGGACTCCAAGAACTGAGAAAAGTTTGCAAGGATGTAGAGATTTCATTAATAATATGGGGATTGAGGAACTTAGTATGGTGGGCTACAAATACACATGGTGTAACAACAGATTTGCAGAAGGAATGGTGGAAGAGAAACTTGACAGAGGCTTTGGCACATTGGAGTGGACAGCAGAATTTCCCAATGCTTACATTACAACCAAGCCTAGAAGTGGATCAGATCATGCAATGCTCCTTCTCAGCTCTGGACACAAAAAAGATAGAATAAAACGCCGCTTCCACTTTGACAAAAGGTGGCTCACTCATGAAGGCTGCACTGAGGTGGTAGAGACAACATGGTCAATCCCTGCTAATGGTACTCCATTCTTCATTCTCAAGGAAAAAATAAAGAACACCAGGCTGGCACTACTTCTCTGGAGTGCTAAATTTAAATCTCACAATCAATCCCATATTGACTGCCTCACCAAAAAGCTTGAACTTCTGCAAGAAAGCACACTACCAGACCATTGGGCAGAGTGGAACTCTATTAGGAAAGAGCTGGAAAGTGCTCATAGAAAGGAGGAGCTATTCTGGCAGCAAAAGGCCAAATCTGTTTGGATCAAAGAGGGAGACAGGAATACAAAATTCTTCCATGCATATACCCTCAGTAGAAGGAAACAAAATGCAATCACTAGGCTCCTCACCTCCACCAACATAGAATGCACTACTCCTCAGGAGATTCAAGATCACATAGCAGATTTCTATTCCACTCTTTTCTCCACAGAAGGCTCATAGGGAGGGGATTCAATGTTGCACCTGATTCAGCCCTCAATTTCCTCAGAGATGAACCAGATACTCCTCAACCAGGTAGAGGAGATGGAAATCAAAGAAGCCCTTTTTAGTCTAAGTTCAGACAAATCACCCGGGGAGGATGGTATGACAGCTTTATTCTATCAAAACTTCTGGAATGTGATTAAATTTGATCTGATAAATGCTGTGACTAGCTTCTTTTCTGAAAAGGGTTCATTGCTTAAATACTGGAACCACACAGTCATTACATTAATTCCCAAATGCTCCAACCCAGAAACTCTCTCCCAATTCAGACCAATTAGTCTCTGCACAGTGGTGTACAAAATCCTTTCTAAAATTTTGGCTTTGAGACTTCAATCATGCTTGGAATCCTGTATTAGCTCTTACCAATCTGCTTTCCTTAAAGGCAGACAAATTTTTGACAATATCATTATTGGGCAAGAGGCTTTTCACTTTTTGAACAGACACTCAACTGGTAAAAACTACTTTATGGCACTGAAGCTTGATCTTATCAAAGCATTTGACCGAGTAGAGTGGCTATGCATCAAGAAAATTATGCTGCAAATGGGATTTCATCAGGATTTTGTGCATCTTATCATGATTTGTATATCTTCAAGTACTTTCTCCTTCAAAGTTAATGGTGCTGTAGGTGGATTTGTAACTCCTTCAAGAGGTATTCGGCAAGGAGGCCCTCTTTCACCTTACTTGTTTATTATTGTTGCTGAGATGCTTTCTGCTTTGGTGTCTAATGCTGTGGCTTCTGGAGACTTAATTGCACTGAAGTTGTCAAGAAATGGCCCACCCATCTCCCATCTACTCTTTGCAGATGATTCCCTCCTTTTCTGCAGAGCCAGCAATGATCAAGCCACCACCATTCTTAACTTGCTGGAGAGGTACAGAATCTTTACTAGGCAGAAGGTCAATCTTCAAAAATCAGCAATATTCTTCAGTAGGAACACACCTCATAATCTGCAAGAGAGAATTTGCCTAACCCTGCAGGGCATCACTGCACATAGATCCACCAGATATCTTGGACTTCCACTAGGGATTGAAAAATCTAAAATGGAAGCCTTTCAATTCATTCTGGATTCAGTGAAGTCAAAGCTGCAAAATTGGAAGTCTAAACTCCTTTCTCAGGCTGGTAAAGGGATTCTCTTAAAAGCAGTTATTCAGTCACTTCCTGTCTACTCTATGTCTTGCTTCAAACTTCCCTCAACTCTCTGTGCTGCTATATCATCACTCTGCTCTAACTTCTGGTGGAGTAAAGGAGAAAACCAGAATAGAGGTATCCACTGGAAGGTATGGAATTTCCTTACTCTGCCAAAAGAAGAAGGAGGACTGGGCTTCATTGATATCAAAAACTTCAACATTGCTCTCATCTGTAAGCAGCTATGGAGGATCACAACTCAACCTCACCTTCTTGTGAGCAGAATTTTAAAAGACAGGTACTTTCCCCATTGCTCTATCTTTAATGCGGTGAAGTCTCATAATTGCTCTTGGATCTGGTCAAACTGGCTGGAAGTGCTGCCAACTTTTGCCAAAGGATTTGCTACTGAAATTAGGAATGGAGAATCCACAAGGTTGGATGATGTGAACTGGGTACCTACTTTACTGAGTCCAAAACCAAAGCTGTTGGATATAGCCAGAGATCATATCCTTTGGGTCAAGGAGCTCCTCAATGATACTGGGAATGGCTGGAACACCTGGCTTGTCCAACAACTGTACAATGAAGCTGACAGTGCAGCTATTCTGAGGATCAACACTCTCAAACCAGGGCACCAGGATAGACACTATTGGAAAATGGACACAAAAGGGAAATTTTCTGTAGCCAGCACCTACTCTTACCTCACCAAGCAGAAGCTAATTGCTATGGACATCCCTGAAAGTAGCTCTAACTCTGGCAGACACCACAACTCTCCATTTGCTAAATGTTGGCAGCTGAAAATTCATAGCAAAGTGAAACTGTTCTTGTGGAGATGCATATCTGGGGCACTACCAGTCAAAGCAAACCTTGCTCGAAGAGGAATGCAAGTAGAGATCATCTGTCAAAGCTGCGGGGAAGCACCTGAAACTGTGGAACATGTCTTATTTCATTGTCCAAAAGTAGTCAGAATCTGGGAGCTCTCACCTGTAACTTGGGCTGACCTTCAGTCTATTACTTCATTCAAGCATTGGTGGAACCATATCTGTGCAGTTGGTTCTTCACAGCTAGCCAGAGCCCGCATACAACTCACTACATATTTGCTTTGGTGGCTTTGGAAGACCCGTAACCTTTGGCTCTTTCAAGCTTCAACCATGCCAGCTCATTTGATCATCAAAGCAGCTATGGAGGACTGGTTGGAGTATGTTCAAATAACTGGCTTGTAGTTGGTGTTTGTTGTTTGCTTTGTGTAGCCTTCTTAGGACTTTTTATTTTCTTTAGTTTCTGGGTGTGACTTGTTTTGTTGGATCTTATTTCTTCTAGGCCTTGTGGCAGTGGAAGAAGTTAGTTGAGGTTTTTTTCGGTTTGTGTTCTAGGCCGCTTTATGCGTGTCCTCTAAGTTTTATTTTCGGGTGTTGCTCATTGTATTCGAACTTTGTTCGCGGTTTGAGTTAATACTACCTCTATCGTTCCGAAAAAAAAAATAAAAAAAAATGTCGCGAGTCGCGAGTATCCCCACGAGATATGTCTATCGGTCCCAGTTTTTTTTGCGACTCACGGCTCAATTTCGCGACTCGCGACACTGAAGTCGCGACTCACGAGTCTGTCGCGAAGTCCTTTTGAATTGTCTAATTTACAAAAAAAAAAAATGCCCTCTCCTTAAATCATAATTTAACGTGCTCCTTATTCTGGATAGTAGAGTATGTCTATCTACTTTTCGGACATCATGCCATCCGGATATCGATAGAGGATGGATGTTGACGTCGGCGGAGCAAGATGACAGCGAGATCCGGAGTCGGGACGGGAAAGGGTGTAGCATCCTATTCGTTTGATAATCCTTCCTCTCTGGACGGCAGCGGCGCTCGAATGGCGAGAACATGGTGGCAGCGTACGACTGCGGCGGGGTGGCCGCCGTGTGGAACTCTGTTAACATGGTGCGTCCGCGTGAGTTGCAGGTTCGGCGGGTGGTGGCCGCCTGAAATCTGAGAGCTTCTGTCAAAGTTGAGCAGCGGCATTGTGTTCTCAGTTGGTGGCGACCGTCGCGGCGAACGGGAGGCCACCATGATGAACTCGAAGAACATGGTGGGTGCGTGTGTGTTGCGGGTTCAATGGATTATGGTAGTTGAAATTTCGGGGAGCTTCCACAGACATGAGCGGCGGTGCTGAGTTTCATGCGGCGGGGATCAGCGCCGGAGAACGGGGTGGCCGCCATGTGTAATTCGAAGAACAAGGTGTATGTGTGCTGCAAGATGGTGGTCACCTGAAATTTTGGTAGAGCTTTGTTAATTCCCGTCGGTAGTGGCGACGTTAGCTGGTAACGGTGCTGGTGAGATATCCTTTCACGGCCGCAAGATTTTTTTTTTTTTTTGTTTTTTTCAGTCGCAGGCTCGCAGCAGGTGTGTGTGAGTGTGAGCGAGAAAGAGATTGAAAGAGAGACGTGTTGGCTATGGTGTGAATGCTGGTGGGGCCCACAATTTTGGTTAGGTGGTTGGATATGTATTAATTATTGATTTACTCTTAATGAGTGTGCAAAATTGATATTTTTTTAGGTGTTAGATTGTTGGATCTAATGGTTAGAATGTATTCTTGTTTCTTTCATTGAGAATCATTCTCACTGGAGCGCAATATATAATTGTGCAACCAATTGAGCTGATATTTTTATGTGCATTTAAAAATAAAAAAATAATAATATGATTTTTTTTTTGGTCGAAACGATAGATAATTTATATAACAAACGCACAAATGTGCAAAGGTACAACTTGGAGCGCAGCCCAAAGCTGAATAAAATGGGAGGTCAGGTCTGACGACCGCCTAGAAGCCCGACACTAGCAATCGCTAGAATCCAAAACAAGGCACTCAAAACAACCACACAACAAACGCACCAAAAAAACTACAACAAAAAGCTCCCCACAGGAGAATAGAGACAGGAGCTGGTCCCCACAGGACAATCAATTGCTCCCGCTCGCACAGAGGCCAACGGCCCAAACCAAAAACACAGACTCAAACGACACAAAACATCCAACACAAAAGCAAACTATATAAAACTAAGAAAACGAAGACAACTAAAATTAGAAAAGAGCCCTTCCACAGCAAATCTACCGAACAAACAGTCAACTCTAAGGTAACATCCATAGCTCGAGAAACTGCCGAAACTGCCGAAAGGCCTATCTGAAGCAGAATCCCACGCCGTGGACCAACCTGGGAGCAAACCCTCCCCTTCACACGAGGCCAGAGAAACCCGAACACAACCTACGACACCGCTGCCCCGAACCGGCTAACGCCACTAGCCAAAACCGGATGCACCAGTCTCCCCTTAACCCAACAGTAGAGCCACAAAGTTAAGAGGATTGGAGGGGTACCTCTGCCTGCACGAAACATGAAGTACCAACAGCCACCCGGCCATCCACATTAGAGAAGAACTCAGTCCCAGAAGAAGCTCCCGAAACTGCCGGCGAAGGCCTAGCCGAAACCTCGCCCGAGAACATCAATCCACTCCAACAGGACGACCCGCCCCGCAGCCGGAAGAGTAGGAGACTTCCCCACTCCCACCACCAACGTCGGCACAGACTCGACCAACACCACTAGCCTAATCTGACCGCGCCGGTGACCCCCTGAATCCAACCCCAGGAGAAACAGAGGGAAAAGGGCGAGGAAGACGCCACTCCTCAACCCCGGCCACCCCGACACCGACATCGAGAGCAGCCCGAGCCACGCCCAGCCCCAACAATACACCCAACCCAGCACTCCCACAACTTCAAGGAAGCCGACGGAAAAAGAACGAAGACGTTACCTGAAAACGGCTGAGCCGTCGCCAACTCTGTCGTCATCCCCCAAAGCATCGCAGGCTAGGATAGGCACAAAAATTGAGACCTGGACATCAGCCTAGGGCCGACCACCGGCGAGGAGTCCGGCAGCCTGCTGAAGAAGGCAGCAAATTTGTCAGAGGAAGAAGGATTCGAGCGGCGAAATTTGGGGGTTAGGTTTCAGAGAATTCTAGTTTATCGCCGATTCGATGTTGATAGATGACTACAAACTAATCCAAANTAATTTTGCATTAATCAAATTATTTGTATAATAAAAATATACCTAATATATAATTTTTTATTTAATGTTTTATATAATTGATTGTTGAAAATAAATGTTATATAAATAGGTAAAATTTAAAAATATTTTTCTATATAGTTTTTCATTGCTATAATTTAATTTTCCTTAAATAAAGCTAAAACGAACCAAAATAACCGAAATTTTAATATATATGAAAATGTACACTAGCACAACAACGTTTTTTTTTTTCTTTGCATTCTCTAAATCATTAATGTGCATTTGGTTTAACAATTTTGTGCAATCTGACAATCACTAATGTTCATCTTGTCCAATACTATCGTGCATTATGCAGTACATGTTTTTTTATGTGCGAATCCAATCTCAGATCAAACCGAAATAATTTAGTTATTCGATTAATTAATTGAAAACCCTAAATAATTTAACTTATTTATTGTTTATATTCTAACAATATATTTAGTATTCATTGTTTTTTAATATTTTATAATATTTTTGGTTAAAATATTATAATTGGATTATTCGGTTGAAATCATTAATGTGCATTTGATTTAACAATTTTGTGTAATCTGACAATCACTAATGTGCATCTTGTTTAATACTATCGTGCATTATGCAGTACATGTTTTTTTATGTGCGAATCCAAACTCATATCAAACCGAAATAATTTAATTATCCGGTTAATTAATTTTTTATTTATATTATAAAAACTAATTTATTATTTAAAAGAATACTTATTAGTTTATATTATTTTTATTTGATGTTTTATTTATTATTCCAATATATATTAATAAAAAAATATATAAAAATAATATTGTGTACTTTTTGTAAATTACAAATTAGGCATATGGGCTAAATTGAATACAATCAAATTTTATTAAAATTGCAACAAGGTCCCTAGATAATATCAAATTTTCAAAATGAAACCCAACTCCTCCCCCTACCCATTCTATCTCGCCACCGCTCAGCAGCTTCACGACCATTTACAAAGGGTGGCGCCGTCGCCTTAGAACCATTAGATATGTCTGATTCGCCACTCATCGAGGTGGGCGCCGGAGATCGGGTATGGAGCTGGAACCATTGTGGCGGCCGGAGGATTCAGGGAGACAGTAGGCAGAGGTTGACAGGAGCAGCAGGCATCGGACGTTCGATAAAAAAGGTGACGGCGTCGGGCGGCGGAGATCGGGGCCACAGTAGGAACCAGTGCGGCAGCCGGAGAAGTCAGGGAGACATGAAGCGGAGGTTGACGGGGCAGCGGGCGTCGGATGAAGAATGTGACGGAGACAAGGTTGACGGCGTCGGGCGGTGGAGATCGGGGATGGAAGCTGGAACCAGTGCGGCGGCGGATGAGTAAGGGAGACCGGAGGCGGAGGTTGAAGGTCAGCGGGCGTCGGACGTGCAATGAAGAAGGTGACGGCGGAAGGTTGACAGCGTCGGGCGACGGCCAACCGAAAAAGCTACTGTGTGTGTATCCGTGTATATTGGTGTGTGTGGATGTTTGTGTTGGTGTGTGTACAATGCGTGTGTCGGTGTGTATGTGTTTTGGGGTGTGTGAAAGATAATGGGTGGGTTGGGTAGGTGAGTTTGCGATTGGAAATTAATTAGGTGTGTCGGACCCACTAGCTGGTTGGTAATATTACTACACTGCCGTTAGTGTGTTTA